GCAGGTTGGAACGCTACAACATACATGTAGCAGGTTGGAGGGTTACAACCCATGTAGCAGGCTGGAAGGCTACAACCAATGAAGCAGGCTGGAAGGTTACAACCCATGTAGCAGGCTGGAAGGTTACAACACAAATGTAGCAGGTTGGAAGGTTACAACACACATGTAGCAGGTTGGAAGGTTACAACACACATGTAGCAGGTTGGAGGGTTACAACCCATGTAGCAGGTTGGAAGGTTACAACACACATGTAGCAGGTTGGAAGGTTACAACACAAATGTAGCAGGTTGGAAGGTTACAACACACATGTAGCAGGTTGGAAGGTTACAACACACATGTAGCAGGTTGGAAGGTTACAACCCACGTGTAGCAGGTTGGAAGGTTACAACACACGTGTAGCCGGTTGGAAGGTTACAACACACATGTAGCAGGTTGGAAGGTTACAACACACATGTAGCAGGTTGGAAGGTTACAACACACATGGAGCAAGTTGGAAGGTTACAACACACATGTAGCAGGTTGGAAGGTTACAACCCACGTGTAGCAGGTTGGAAGGTTACAACACACATGTAGCAGGTTGGAAGGTTACAACCCACATGTAGCAGGTTGGAAGGTTACAACACACATGGAGCAAGTTGGAAGGTTACAACACACATGTAGCAGGTTGGAAGGTTACAACACACACGTGTAGCAGGTTGGAAGGCTACAACACACATGTAGCAGGTTGGAAGGTTACAACCCACGTGTAGCAGGTTGGAAGGCTACAACACACATGTCTCAAGTTGGAAGGTTACAACACACATGTAGCAGGTTGGAAGGTTACAACACACATGTAGCAGGTTGGAAGGTTACAACACACATGTAGCAGGTTGGAAGGCTACAACACACATGTAGCAGGTTGGAAGGTTACAACACACATGTAGTAGGTTGGAAGGTTACAAAACACATGTAGCAGGTTGGAAGGTTACAACACACATGTAGCAGGTTGGAAGGCTACAACACACATGTAGCAGGTTGGAAGGCTACAACACACATGTAGCAGGTTGGAAGGTTACAACACACATGTAGCAGGTTGGAAGGTTACAACCCACATGTAACAGGTTGGAAGGTTACAACCCACATGTAGCAGGTTGGAAGGTTACAACCCACATGTAGTATACATAGTATCTGCAACTGGAACATTTTGTTTCAGAAACTACTTATGCTGCATGACTGAAACTTTACAAGCTTTCTAAGAGATGCCTGTGTAAACTAATTTAAAAAATTGGTACCATAATTATTTTGTTCGAGAGTTATGTCCATTGCTACATGTGCTGTTTTTTTAATTCATCCTCTTTTAACGGGGTCATGTTCCTGAGAAACTACATTAACTCAGTTATCAGTGTTGTTATCAAGACTTAAACCTTGGTGACATGAAGTAAGTTCTTTCCAAGCAATGGCCCTTGACTCATTGGCTGTAGTGGGGGCTTGTGTAGTGTAGTTATCCCGGACTGTTCACTGAAATGTGAACAAACAAAACTGCTATGTGGGTCATGGTGGGCGATAATGACAACCATGATGCTGCTGTTTTCTTGTTGTCACGGCGATAACTTGGAGTATGAACGTTTTATTCAGGTTATTTGTGATACTATGACCACAAAAAAAAATTGGTGTTAATAAAGTCGTTCAAGCGTGTCTGAGGACGTACACAGAGAAGGCAGTTCTTTCTCCTCCCCATGAGGCCTTGATGTTTATCAGAAACTCTATTTTGATGCGTGTCACAAATATCAGGTCAAACACAACATTGGAGACTCATAATGACAATATATTGCCTGTGTAGAAACATAAATGAAGGAATATAGTCATAATGATTCAGAAGAAGTCACTTACAATGAGGGTGGTGCTGTAGCCTAGTGGCTAAAGCGTTGACTTGTCACACCGAAGACCCGGGTTCGATTCCCCACATGGATACAATGTGTGAAGCCCGCCGTGATATTGCTGGAATATTGCTAAAAATGGTGTAAAACCCAACTCACTCACTCACTTACAATGAACAGGAACTGTTGGGTAGCATAGTGGTTAAAGTGTTCACTCATGCTGAGACCTGGGTTCGATTCCTCATAGGAGTACAGTGAGTGAAGCCTGTTTCTGGCTAGGTATCCCTGGTGCCATTGTTGGAATGGCTGGCGTAAAAATATTCTCACTATAATGAGCAGGCCTACCAAAGAAAACTTTCCCACTGTGCAGAAAAACGCAGAAAAGACCACATTAATCGTGGAAATAGCAACATAAACACATTACCTTGCTACTGAAACAGTAAAAACGGCAATGAAAAAATATGAAACTGCAACATTTTTATATCAGCGAACTTTGACCTCTACTGTGCATGCGCATTACGATCCAGGCTTCTTTCCAATTTCCGAGCAACCGTGAATCGCCTCGCGTAGAATAAGTATTAAATATGTCGAAATAATTGCTGTCAATCATTTCATACGAATGGAAAGTAAACTAAACAAGTGTGCACACAAGTATCATGATGATAAATACCAAATAACACAACAGAAATACTTAAAAAGGAATGTAACTTTTGTCCAAGCTGGAAAATGTCAACATGCAGTCGAGACTTCCTCTTCTATGCGCGCATGCGCAAAATCGAAGTTGCTGGCTCCTCGTTTTATGATGCAGTGTTAGCGATTTAAAGTTGCCGTTTTTACTGTTTCGGTAGCGAGGTAATGTGTTTATGTTGCTATTTCCACGATTAATGTGGGCTTTTCTGCATTTTTCTGCACAGTGGGAACGTTTTCTTTGGTAGGCCTGATGAGGAAGACCCTACATTAGAGAGAGAGACCTCCATGACATTAAAACCTCAATTCGGGGATCCATATACAAGTTGCATTTTCTCCTTTGGGAGTACTAGGTGTACCAAAAAATGAAACTAGTTATGTTGGGATTTCACTGTCTAATACAGTACAAATTCTTGCAGGATTTTCTAGGAGGTTAATTCCCTGATCACTGAACCCACACTATGAAAGTAAAAGTGCACAAGTAAATGACAAAAATATGATGTAAGAATGAAGGTGATTAATGCAGCATTCATCATGATGAGAATTGTTAAGCTCACTTGCTTAATAGTTGCACTTGCCCTCGATCAAAGAAACCTCGTCAGCATTGTTAGGTCTTGCATCAGTGAACTCTGTCACTGAACTTCAGAGATTTGTTCGTTATGCTTTGATAGAGAGCAGCCATGCTGTAGGTGACTGTCTCTAACAGTGCCAAATCAGGGCACCATTGCTCAAAATGTGTAAAGTCAAATAAGGACTAAACCATGTCAAACAAGGACATATTGATGTAAATAGTGCCATTAGAATTATATCCTTGGTTCATGTAAGTCTGGTGTAACTTTCATTATAAACCATTAGTCACTGTGTTCTTTAATCTGATTGGCTGAAAAACATGATTGCTTGGTATTTGATTCCCTGAAATTGCAAGACTATTCGCTGCGTATTAATACATACAAATATCGCACATAGTTGTATTGTTGCGTCGGCAGCAGTGGTGACGTCGTTCAAATCATATTGTAATGTAAAGTCGGATTGGTGCTACAAATGAGTAGTTCCAGATGCTACCATGGGAACCAGCCGAAACTGCCGGCTGATGACACTTTACTGCTGTACCCGTGTCGATGTACTCAATGTCAATGAGTGCAGACAAAAATATGCATGTGGACCTTTTGATTTACTTTTGTGTTTACAATGTCGATAAAAATCATATGTTGGCTAATTTTGGGGTTTTATTTAGTATTTGAAGCACGGGGATTCATTTCAAACTGGAGGCGTTAGCTGAAGGTTTCAAATGAAATATTCCCAATCATCAAATACTCAATAACACCCACAAATTGGCCAACACATAATGTTTATCTGCTGAATCAGTTAACAGACATGAACTTTCATTTTTGTTGAATCAATTTTGAAGACTTCCAATGCTAAACAATATGTTTGGTGGGTAGTTATGTTGGGTCAGACCTAGTGATTTGAGTGAGTGAGTTTAGTTTTACGCCACACTCAGCAATATTCCAGCTATATGGCGGCGGTCTGTAAATAACCGAGTCTGGTCCAGACAATCCAGTGATCAACAGCATGAGTATCGATCTACGCAATTGGGAACCAATGACATGTGTTAACCAAGTCAGCGAGCCTGACCACCCGATCCTGTTAGTTGCCTCTTACGCCAAGATCCCGCGTCCGTATCCATGTATAACAGGTCATATCATTGTCAAAGACATCCTTCTGGTAACAGGTTTCTGGTGACAGTTTCTACATAGCCAATATCAATTGACTTTTATCAATGAGGGTGATCAGTTTTACAATTCCGTCACTGTATAGGAATTCATTTCAGACTGTTTTTGCACATTTTATCCCTTTTTGAAATCCAAGAAGTATAAACTCAAAAAAAGAAAGACATGAAGAATACCATATACATACATAATGTTTTTTATTGATGTTCTTTGGACTGTAAGTAACAAAAATCTTAACTTAAAAATGGAAAAATGTTAAAATATTCAATCATTAAAACTTGTATCATTAGAATCACAAATAATCAAACAATGCAGGGTTGCAAAAAGATCAAAAGCAATGAAAATAATAATCATCGTTCTGTAAATTATTTTGCTGTTGAACCTCACCCTTTTGTTACCGAGACAGTCATCTAAAGTTCTATGATATGTAACCATGGTAATAAGAAAGACCATTTATCTGTTTTTGTCCCTTCTTTTAGTCTGTTTTCCTGCTGACTGCATAGAAGTATATTTTGTCCTACTGGAGCCCAAATACCTGATATGGTGACCATGTGGATTGTTTGTATTCACTTTATCATGATAACTGCTGTGGGCAGTGTGTACTATAATGAACTGTATGCCCCCACCTCTCCTGCCTTCCCAGGGTATATTACATAGAGATCCTGTTTACTTATGTCAAATGTTGGTATACATATCTACATCCTGGTTAAAACAAAAAATAAGATTGGCTGATAGCTGGAACAAGGAAGGGTTGATTTTAAGTCACACGAACATGAGGGTGCAGTCGGGTGAGACATTCCTTCACAATGAGGTATTTCAGGATCTTTAAGATGTTATAGAAAGAAATCGAGGAGTAATTACATGAATATATTCACAAGGCATGTAGGTAGTATTATTTCAATAATTTTCACTGAGCATTTGATAATAGCATTTGTTGTATTGTTTTCATTGTTTGAGAAACGTCCCGGGGCGGTGTGACATATGAACGTACTGTTTATGGATTTCAACTTCTGTAATACGAGGAACCCGATGTTTCGACAGATATTGTTTCGTCACCTGATGAAAGAGACACATACTCTGAAACATGGTGTTCGTCATATTACAGAAGTTGACATTTTGATGTGTATCACATCCTGCTTGATGTGTATCACTTCTATATGCCATTTAGAGATTTAGACTACACATTTTTCAATCAGGATGTATAATCCCAAATTTCCTGTTGTGTGTCAACTTGAGCTATTCTCTGCTTGGGGCAGCCTAATGGTTAAAGCGTTGGCTCGTCACGCCGAATCCCCACATGGGCACAATGTGTGAAGCCCATTTCTGGTGTCCCCCGCCGTGATGTTGCTGGAATATTGCTAAAAGCGGCGTAAAAACAAACTCAGTCAGTCAACTCTTGTGTGAGGTGATGTTGTAGAGCTCCAATGTTGGCACAACTCTTGTGTGAGGGGATGTTGTAGAGTTCCAATGTTGGCACAACTCTTTGTGTGAGGTGATGTTGTAGAGTTCCAATGTTGGCACAACTTTGTGTGAGGGGATGTTGTAGAGTTCCAATGTTTGCACAACTCTTGTGTGAGGTGATGTTGTAGAGTTCCAATGTTGGCACAACTTTGTGTGAGGTGATGTTATAGAGTTCCAATGTTGGCACAACTCTTGTGTGAGGTGATGTTGTAGAGTTCCAATGTTGGCACAACTTTGTGTGAGGTGATGTTATAGAGTTCCAATGTTGGCACAACTGTTGTATGAGGTGATGTTGTAGAGTTCCAATGTTGGCACAACTCTTGTATGAGGTGATGTTGTAGAGTTCCAATGTTGGCACAACTTTGTGTGAGGTGATGTTATAGAGTTCCAATGTTGGCACAACTCTTGTATGAGGTGATGTTGTAGAGCTCCAATGTTGGCACAACTCTTGTGTGAGGTGATGTTATAGAGCTTCAATGTTGGCACAACTTTGTGTGAGGTGATGTTGTAGAGTTCCAATGTTGGCACAACTCTTGTATGAGGTGATGTTATAGAGCTCCAATGTTGGCACAACTTTGTGTGAGGTGATGTTGTAGAGTTCCAATGTTGGCACAACTGAGGTGATGTTGTAGAGCACAACTCTTGTATGAGGTGATGTTATAGAGCTCCAATGTTGGCACAACTTTGTGTGAGGTGATGTTGTAGAGTTCCAATGTTGGCACAACTTTGTGTGAGGTGATGTTGTAGAGTTCCAATGTTGGCACAACTGTTGTATGAGGTGATGTTATAGAGTTCCAATGTTGGCACAACTGTTGTATGAGGTGATGTTATAGAGTTCCAATGTTGGCACAACTCTTGTATGAGGTGATGTTATAGAGTTCCAATGTTGGCACAACCCTTGTATGAGGTGATGTTGTAGAGCTCCAATGTTGGCACAACTTTGTGGGAGGTGATGTTGTACAGTGTCAAGGCTTTGTTAACTGTTGTTAGAGGTGACATTGTAGGTTGCCATGGTTTGTACAAGTCTTGCGTGAAGTGATTCAGTAGGTGCCTCCGGTATGTTACAGAGCCAGTGTGAAATGATTTTGTACAATGAATAGAGTTGTCTCAGGTCTTGCCTGAGGTGACACTGTACAATCCTAAACATGATAAGAATTAAGGATGTTATAGGTCAGTGTTCCATCCCTCCAGCCGACCCGTGAAGATCCGGGGTAGAATAGGTCTTCAGCAACCCATGTGCTTGCCATAAAAAGGCGACTATCTTGTCGTAAGAGGCGACTAACGGGATCGGGTGGTCAGTTTCGCTGACTTGGTTGTCACATGTCATCGGTTCCCAATTACGCAGATTGATGCTCATGCTGTTGATCACTGGATTGTCTGGTCCAGACTCGATTATTTACAGACCGCCGCCATATAGCTGGAATATTGCTGAGTGCGGCGTAAAACTAAACTCACTCACTCACTCACTCCCTCCAGCCACTCTTGTGAGGAGTCGGATGCATATTTAATATTCAGGTCACTCATTGAATTACAGTTGGCCATGACCTTCTTTTATGATCCTGTGATGCTCTAAAAAACATTTGGAATTGTAAACACCTCATGAATACCATCACTTGTTAAACATTACCAGGAAAGTGTCTGTTTTGTGCTTATAATTCAGTTGAATTCCCTTTTAAATCAGTTTGATTGGAAAGAACTGAAAATATAATTCGGGGAGGTAAGAATTTTGTGGAATGGAGTATTATTTTTTAGAAGTCCCAGGATTCCCCACAAAATATTAAACATTTGGCCCGTCATGTATGGGGTACAAGGGACCTGTACTGGAATTCCTCCATACATCCTCTACAGTATCGCAGTCTGTCGGAAGATGAAGGGGTTCTCACAAATAGATTATGTTCTTCATTGCCACCAGGGTGATGAGCTAGGCTAGAAATGAAGCATACAACTATATGGATCACTCGTTTATTCCACAGAGTGACGATTCAGTGTAGATTCATACACCATTTTCAATTTTAGCTTGATGACTGTGTAAGAATCTGCATTATGATGTCGCTATTATGCAATAAACATGCTTCATTATTGACAATGCCTATCAAACAATAAGGTAGCCTAGTGGTTAAAGTATTTGATCATCATCCAATATGGATACAATTGTTTGAAATCCATTTCTGCAGTGATATTGCTGGATATTGCTGAAAGTAGCATAAAACGACTGACTGACTGACTGACTGACTGACTGACTGAATCACTCACTCACTGTCAGATAAGAGTTTGTTGTTCAGTAGTTCCATGCCTATCTGATTGTAACAGATGATGGATGATAAGCCAGGATGCCCCACAGCACAAGTGTTTTTTCCTGTTAATCAGGATCTGAAGGACACTCATCAGACATGACATTACAACAACATTTTCAGTCTATTGCGAACCACCATTTTGTTGTGTCATTGCCTTCAAGATATACAGTTATATCGACAGCTAGCCTGTCATCACAAGTTAAAAGTGACACAAAACTGTAACCTGAGTCGTCCAGTTGGCGCCTTGTAATTTCAGATGCCAGTTAGCATCAGAGGCTCAACAAACTTGTACTAGATCAGGTGGACCTTGTTGACAACCAGGGGACCCCCGTTGACTTCCCATATAAGATAGGATTATGCTTACGAAAATCTCTCATCTTGCAAGTTTGTGTACGTATGTATGTATGTATGTGTGCGTGTGTGTGCGGGCGGGTGGGTGTTCTTTCATATTTTTTTATTTACGTCTCACCTCATAATATAAAATACAAACATAGAATTTACTTAAAAGTACTGCGAACCACCCAAACATTGGTTATGTCTAAGACTATATAAGAGACGATGTATGTATCATACAGTTATGTACTCCAGTGTAAAGCTATTACAGGTAGGTAAGTATGTATATACAGTAATGTACTCCAGTATAAAGCTATTACAGGCAGGTATTACTTTTGCTTCAATGAAGTTCACTTAATGTACTCAAAACAGCAACCAGTCTTACTTTTTCATTGAAAAAAGCGCCTTGAGTATGCACTAGTTGCCTGGATATGTGCGCTATATAATTATCCTATAAATTTATAATAATATCTGATAAATAGCATGTTATACAATACTTCCTATTATTCACTCACTCACTCACTCATCCAAGTTTTATCGTATAAGCCCTACACTTGAGATTTTTGTCATTCACTTGAGCTCAGTTTATGACTTTATTACCAGTATTAATTAGTGGTGGCAGCCCTCAAATTACCTTGAACCCATGAGACCTCTATGGTCACTGATCAAACTATTCTATATGTAAATATTTTCTGGCAATAACAAGCAATTACTCCCAAGTGCTATTATTTTTTAGATATATGAATAAAGCTTCAACTAAGGTAACTCAGTATTTCTGATAAAATATGTTTCAATCAATCATGGCACCCAAATTTTTACCTGCATCACAGGTAGATTTGTGAAAACTGTGGCGTCATCTGATTGCTCATTTCCAGCTTAGTTTCTATGATATTGCTAGTTTGTTATCACCTTTTCATTTACTTTAAATCTCTGAAGGAATCATTTTAGTTTTTTACTATGCGCAATAGTTATGTTCACCGATAGCTTCACACTTTAAGTCTTGAAAGCTTTCATCCAAACCATATGTCAGTGGTTGTACCTCTTTATTGTATATCGTTTGTTAGATAGTTTGTTATTCTTTGATTCTCAGATAGGTGTCGCTTCACACAGTGCAGTGAGGATAGTGCTGAACATGTAAACAAATGTTGAAATTCTAGTCCATAATCAGCAAATTTGTGTTCTGCAAAGAAGCAACCAATCCCTATTTTGAAACTTTCAGAGCTACAGTTTTGTTTCCCCTTAACATTCATAGTCTTACATTGTGGACACCTCTGAAATGGTTGGACAGTTTCAGATGAAAATTTGATGGATGTTTACAACCTGTACAAAGGGTTTCATCTCAACTGCTGTTACAATATGCCAGCCAGGTAGCCATTGTTTTCTTTGATTTCAAGAACATGTTATATTTTCTACAAGATATGTCACAGGACCCTGACACAATTATGAAAAAGTTTCGAGTAAGTATGTGATTTTAGAAGGTACTATTTACTTTCTGAATAAAAGTAGTATCTATCTTATAATAAACTGTGAATGCCCATTGCAACTCTGTTGAGTCAGTACCAGGACCTGTTTCAAAGAGTGGCTCCTCACAATAATACATCAAAAGCCATTACCATACAACTGACTGCCTTGTCATCAGTAACTTCGGTAGGAGAATGTCCATACTATATATATGGTAATTGTAAAGATGGCAGTTCGTAGGGGTGCCACAATACAGTATCCA